GAAACACCGAGGATACATATCTCAAGAAAATTTAGTTTATTAGCTTACCTAAAAAACATGTCTTTTATCATCATTTGAAAATGGCTTTTTAAATCCTTTTCATACTCTTAACTAGGTTTTAAGTTCTATATACAGCTCACAAATTTAGTTACTTGGTAAGAGAAAGATACACTATTTCCATTTATTATTAGCTTACAAAAATTACATAAAACATAATCAATAATTGTTTTATTGCTTTCATGTATTAACATTTAATGGTCAGTATCTAGTCCAATACTCAATTGTTGACTTCTTAATTTATTCACATACTTGTTAAAGAAAGAAACTTTCACAAACACTCCATGTCCTACGTTCTCTGGGGAGGGTCTTATTTGCCTGTGTTCAATACAGAGTACACCACACAGCAGGGTGAGCAGTGGAACAGGCAGGCAACCCAAGGGTACCTAACCTCTTTTGGAGTCAAGTCTTCAAACTGTAGTTTTTATTATTTAAAAAAATATTATTTTCCATGCCAGAAATACCCATAAAAATAAATGGAAAATTAAGTTTCAAAATAAAGTAGTTTTTTTTTCTTTCAAGGTAGATTACTGCAACGTCTGCTCTTTTCCAAAGGAGTTAATAGCCATTAGGTATCATAAATTATAGACTTAAGAATAACCTGAAGGTAGTATAAGGCATAAAAAATATATTTTAACCATTATTCATCAATACAAACATTTTTTGAAACATATGGTTGTATAAATAGGTCTGGAATAAAAATAATAAAACCCTGTTTGAGAAACCAAGAGAAGACTTTGACCCCACTGCTGGCTAAAGACTGTGGACTTGAGGAACTTCAGGCGGACTGCCAGCCTGCACACTCCCTACATAAATTGGGGGAATTCCAGACTGAGAGGGAAGAGTCTGACAACTTGACTATCTCCAGTCCCTAGGACTTGGGGATTCCCCATAACTCCAGGAAATGGGGGGGGGGGGGAGATTGTTCTGCCTCCAAAAAATGAAAAAATACTTTAAAAAAATAGTAAAATTCACTGCCATCAAGTCGATTGCAACTCATAGTGACCCCTCCTTGGGTTTCTAAGGTTGTATCTCTATGGAGGGAGCTCTGGTAACGTAGTGCCTGAGGCACTTGACTGCTAACCAGAAGGCTGGCAGTTCAAACCCACTAACCACTCCTCAGAAGGAAGGTTGGGCAATCCTACTTCCGTAGTGATAGTGCCTCAGAAACCCAAGGAGGGGTCACGATGAGTCAGGTCTGACTCTATGGCACATAACAACAACATCTCTACAGCAGAAGATTGCCCAACCTTCCTTCCGAAGAGTAGTTGGTGGGTTTGAACTTCCAGCCTTCTGGTTAGTAGTCAAATACCTTAGGCACTATGCCACCAGATCTCCCTAAAAAAAGTTAGGGCCTTAACAAAGCCTCCTGATTTTTTAAAACAAAGGGTGAAAGAAGAGGGAAAATTAATTTTTTTCTCAAAATTCCACAGTACTGGTTCACTATCTATGCTTCATTATTCCAACACTGCTTTTTACAACTAAGGACAAGATGAACACAATTTTTAAAAGATTAAACTCATTCAAATAAATATGCACTATTATATGGGAGCTCTGGTAGCATAGTGGCTAAGACACTTGCCTGCTAACCAGATGGCTGGCGGTTCAAACCCACCAGCCACTTCTCGGAAGGAAGGTTGGGTAATCCTACTTCCGTAGTGATACTGCCTCGGAAACCCAAGGAGGGGTCGCTATGAGTCGGGTTTGACTCGACGGCACATAACAACAACAACAACATATATTATATGTTTAAGGAAAATTCCAAAATTAATGGATTTATTTACAAATATCTCTTTTTAGGGGAAGTGATGTTCATTTCAGTTTGAAGTTTTACATAAAACATTTACCATTCATCAAATTAGTATTGGAAAGTACTGAAGTAACACCTTTTTTGTGACGGGTGCTAGGTGATGACCTATGTGAAAATGACCAACCAACTCCCTAAGGGACAAATTTGTTTAAAATTTACTGCAGTACCGGTTACCTAATTGTGTTGGCAATATGAAAATCAGTATTAGTGGTGTTTAAATTAAATTTACAAAAGAAGAGTTTGATTCAGAAATTACAATCCAAGCTCCACATGTTAGACTTGTCTATACCTTCTAAATGTTAACTATAAAAGTGTAGGGGCATGAAGATATAATAGAGAATTAAAAAATACAAGGCAAATAAAGAACAAACTCAAGGCAAAGATCCACTGGTCTATGACATGGAGTCCACAGTGTTGTCTGAAACAATCTAAACATGCAAAGTCAAAATCCAGTGCCCTACCCACAATGGAGGAGCTCTGGTAGCATAGTGCCTAAGGCATTTGGCTGCTAACCAGAAGGCTGGCGGTTCAAATCCACCAGCCACTCCTCGGAAGGAAGGTTGGACAATCTATTTCCATAGTGATACTGCCTCAGAAACCCAAGAAGGGGTTGCTATGAGTCAGATCCGACTCCACGACAGTGGCTGCTTTGTGTATCCAGAATGGGCAACAAGTCTTTTGCCTCCAAAACTGATCACTTACAGCCCAGCTTTAGAAGAGTAAGAGTTATTTTTTAGGGGCTTTCAAAGGAATACATCTCCCAGAACTAATCTGACAGAAAATCATAATCCATTTCTTTCCATTAGTATATGACTAAATACTGAAGCTAATTATGCTGGCTCTTTTGAATTCTCACAGTAATATGGAATTTTAAAGAACATATTTAGTTCCACAACTTTATGCAAGACCGGGCAGTTTCAAAGCATCTAGGTGGTAAGATGTTAGCACCGTACTGACACAGAAGCCTACATAAATTTCCTTTAGACGGTTAATTAAGACCTTTTGATTAGAGACATGGCTCTAATGGGGACAAATATGCATGCTGTTAGTAGGCCATCCTGAATTGACTGCTACTGTCCCACTGCTTCTGCTCTAACTGCACTTTTAATCACTAGTCAGTACCAGTCCTTTTAACATCTACCCATCTTTAGTATTTAAAACAATTTCCTCAGACAGCACAATTGTAATCTGCAATGGCAGCTCATATAAATCCAGAGGCATGAAACGTGTGAATTACACTGCTTCAAACTAAAGGGAAGCAGAAGCAAGTAGAGATCAGGGGAGTTAATTTACCTATGCAGTTGGTTGGGTATATTTTTTTAAATATTATATTGTGCTTTACGTGAAAGTTTATCTAGCAAATTAGGTTCCCACTGAACAATTTGTACACAATTTGTTCTGTGACATTGGTTACACTTTTCATAGGGTGTCAACATTCTCATTATTTCCCTTTGTTGTTGTGTTTCCATTCATCTAGCTTCCCTGCCCTCCTTAGCATCTCATCTTTGTTTCAGGGTAAGTGTTCACTGTTTGGTCTGGTATATTTGGCTATTTAAAAGATGGTTAGATATTTTTCAGAGAGTGAGAGGATGAGAGGGAGCTGTTTGGTGAGAGCTATTTTCCCCCTTCCTTGTTTCCTAACCCTGGCCGAATTGCATAGAAAAAGGAAACTGCTAGACATAAGTTGACAGGAAGACATGAATCTATCTCCCCAAATCTGGGGACGTTCTGTGTATGAGGAGGGGTCTTAAACAAGCAGAAAGACTGACAGTCTGAGGAAGGAAGCCATGTGCGCAAGAGGCATGTAGGCATCCTGCCTAACATTACCTGAAAGAGGTCCAAACCCACTTTAAATTGCTCAATTTCAGCTTGAGTAAATTCATCTGGTCTTAAAGTCACAAATCCTATGACCACTGAGCCACCTCCATTGTGCAGCAACACTTCTTCACCATTTCAAAATTCTGTTTACTACCTAAAAATGAGTGTTTGACTCTTCCTTTCTTGATTACCTACCCAATTACAAAACAACATTTTTTTTTTACAGTCTCTAATTAAAAACAAACAAACATAATACTTCCATTCATGATGTATTTGAGAAAATGGAATGAAGATTTGGGATGAAATGCTTTTAATATGGTTCCTAGCACGTTTGGATCCAGGCAGGCACAGTTTCACATGAGAGAGTAGCTACAAAAGTAGGCATGTCCACAGAAAGCCTGGTGACAGGTGACCAGGAGGAAGTATGGGCTTTAAGTCCTAACTCTGTCACTAAATGACTCTGAGGCTCTGGACAAATTCCTCTATCTTTTTAAAAACAGCCTGGAATGATTTTTAACTCTCCTTCAGCTTTAAGCTGGACATGAACTAATCACATGTTACAAGTTCTAACTGAAAATTACCTGAAAGAAATAACACAACTTGTATCAAAGTCCATGTTTGTCCTAGATTAAGTCTGTCATCATTTTGCTACATGAAGGCAAACCTGTTGCATCATGTAGAATACTATTTCTGATTGTGCAAAATCAGAAGATGGCTTTTATATGTCTTTTCATTAAATTAAAAAAAAATGTATGCCTCTTATGATCCAAAGTTCTCCAGTTTCACCTTTACAGCCTGTTAAGTACACACAGGGTGCCACCTGGCAGAATGGGGCCATATGATTGAACGCCTAGGTGTGACAGCTTTCTGTTAGACCCTTTCCATCACCCAGGCTGATGCTTTGCGTTTACATCCAGGCTTCATTTCAAAGCTACTTCAGAGCCACATTAGGAGCGATTTGGTACCTCTGCGGTTTATTACTGTTTTCCGAGCCGGCGGATTAACCCTGTACCAGCCAGCGAAGGAGCTGGTTTATAGACCACCTGCCCATGTTTATAAAGCTACGTCGTGTGGCTTATGCTCTTGAGTAGCCAAGTTAAATAAAAGCAACGGGATTAACCTCAGATCTTACTGGGCTCATCTATGATACTGAAGAAACAGAACCAAAGAGGCTTTGACACTGCACCTGGTAGAAGGGGAAACCTCCATCTCCTTTCTCCACACTGTAATATTGCAGTTTAGCGTTTTAATGATTTGCTATTTCTCCCAGAAAAATACGAACCATCAGGAAGGATTTCTGGTACAGCGCACTCACCTCTTTGATCTTTGCCCTCTTGTCGCGGATGGCAAGGTCTGCGGGCTCTGGGACCTCCGCCCCAATGGGAGGCACGAAGTTCACCTGGGGCAGCCCCCTGGATGCCGCCTTGTCACGCAGCTGGTCCTGGGCCACCTTCTCCTTCTCCAATAGGATGTCTCTTTGGATCTCCTCGGGCAGCTTCTGCAGGGTTTCCTTGGCTTCCCTGAGGGCCCGCTCGTGGTTTTCGCGGATCCTGGCCAAGTTGTCCTCCAGGGCTGCCGCCGGGTCTCCGGGCGCGCCCTCCTCGCGGCGCCGGGCTCGCCCCTCAGCCGCGTCCTCGGCGCGCGCCCCGGGCCCCGGCTTGTGGTCGGCGGCCGGCTGCAGGGCGGGGCTGGAGTGGAACAGGACCCCGCTGAGCAGCTTGGAGGAGTCGGGCAGGAAGAAGATCGCCCCAAAGCAGAGCGTGATGAAGGCGCTGAACACCAGCAGCAGCACGAACTTCTCTGTCAGACGGAAGGCGGCGGGGCCCGACCCC